TCACAATGTGGCCCTTGTCAAAGTCACTCAGATCCTCACGCTGCCCATTTTTCCTGCTTCTAACACATCAACTCTGAGGACAAAATGTTCACTTGCTGCCTAATATATACCACCCACTGACAGCAGGCGTCATTATAGCCAGATAATCAGTGTTCTCCACTACACCTGTCAGTGCTCACAATGTTAGGGCTGATCAGTGTTACCTTTTCACAACTCTTGCATTTCAGTAGGTGGCCTTTACTATAAAACCTTTCCTGGAGACTTCTCTGTGAAGGTGTGATTTTAGTAGTAATGTAATTGAATGGCACAAATAGATGTAGCTGCCACTACGGGATGTTCCTCTGGAGTCTCCGATCAATATTGTAGTGATTACATTGCAATGATTATTTGCTAATCTTCCCACTCAACGTCTGTTTTCCTCAACCAAGAGACATGACTAAGCTCTACTGCACTGACTCCCTGCTCTTGTATAAAATTTCCCATATGTGTGTTTGTTTTGTGTGTATTGGGTGGTTGGTGCCTGTGGTGAGCAATCTGTGCAGCTATATCCACATGTATTTACGTCTAGATATTTTTCACGTGCAGAGGGTTCATGCTTGGGTGAATTCGTAAGATTTTCCTCTCTGCTTCGGTGTGTTTTGACAGATGTAGGAAACCAGCTTAACTTCGTTTAAATCCATAATTTTAGTTTATGAGTCATTCTGACAGTTCAGCCAGTTGCTACCAAAGCTCCTGCACAGCTTTGTCTCGGCTGTTGTTTGTGTTCCTTATGGCCACAATGCATCAGTGGCTTTCTGGGGCAGACAAGGCACCCAGTAAAGCATTATTGCATTCGGCCAAGTTTGTTAAAAAACAGGACAAAAACTTAGAGAATCAGATAAGTGGGCTCTAGGGAATAAAAAATGAGGTCACAAATTTGATTTCCACCCTCCTCCTTGACTGTGACACATAACCCTGCGATGTCATGTCTGCATTTCTATCTTACATAATTGCATGCTGGGATAAGTTCCATGACTTTGTATTATAAAAGCAGATAAGGGCAGTGGATGATTGATGGTTGCATTTCTCAGATTTTTTGCCTCATAAATTTGTCAGGATTATATAGCGTGTTATAGTGTGACACTTCATTGATCCCCTCAGGGAAAATCTAGTTTTGCTTGGCTTCCTCTAAAGATATTTAAAGCCCAGTATCTGCTATAGAAAGGATTCAGTGTTTTTCCTCAAGGATACCTCAGTAGGGCGGATGCTTGTTTAAATTGTGGCATAATCCTAGTTTATCCTGTCAAAGGACTATTCCTTTAATGACACACTCTAACCACCCATTTTGAGACACACTAGATTTACCATCGACTGAAGCTCATTTATCATTGTAACATTTTAGTTTCATATAGTTAATCTTTCCGACTTTTCTGATCTTTCCAGTTTTGATCAACACTAATATGGGAGCAGCTGTCTTTTTAACTATTCAAATCCAATGCAGCAGAAGAGGCAGTTTGTGATTTGAGTTGTGAAGTGCCCCTTCACTCAAATGTTTTTCTTCTTGTTCCTACAGTTGGATGTTTGAGCTTCACTGTGCATAATGGTGTATGTGCAGAGTCTGACACTAGTCTACTAGACACAGTCTTTTACATTGATCTTCTGAAAGTTGAAAGTTTCTCTGTGCTCATTGAAAATCTGATTTTCAAGGGGCGGGGCCTACGAGCATGATTTGTGACATTACAAATAGTTGGGAAGTCGATCCTGGTCCAGTTTGCAGTTTATACAAGTGTGATGTAGAAACCTGAAGCCAACAGCGCACACACACTGAGAACGGACTTTACATTGAAGTAGGAGACATCTTGTGTCCAGCAGGAAAACTTTAGGAATAAACAAAATTTGCATATTCATAAACTATGGAATTTTGAATGAAGTGGAAGGAATAGTTGCCTTTTTTAAGGATTTTGATTGGGAAATAATACAATTTTTGCAGAAAAAAAACATATGAGACACATATTATTGTTCCAGGCAGACTATTTGTATATGTCTTAATGCATGTCTGGAAGCGATAATTAAGGAAATACTTTGAGAACGCTAACATATTTTGTTGTTTTTCCAGCAAGAAAACTCAAACCTTACTAACCTCATTACTGTGCATGGTTTTAATTTCAGTAAATGTAATTTTGTTTTTATTGCTAATGGAGCTAGGTTGAGTTTCAGCCTTCTATCTCCTCTGGCTGATGCTGGTTTCAGTTAATTTCATCATTTCAGTGTTTTGAATGCTGCAAGTATTTTATTTTCTGTTGCAGACCTGATTTCTTTTGCCTTCTGCTGTTACAAAGAATGTGAAATATTTGGACTGGATTTGACTCAAATGCAGAAGTGTCTGTATTATTATAAATCTAAAAGGTTTTCCTGACTCAATTCTGCCCCCTGTTGTTGTAATCTGTAAGTATTATCCTCTCATCAGTTTGAATTTATTAGGTGAATAGTTCATTAGCTGTAATGATAAAGACTGAAAAAAAAAACTATTTTAAAAAGTTTCTATTTCTACTATTTCTGCTCTACACCAACATATACCACACACGAACACACACACACACACACACACACACACCTACCTATCTTTCCACAAATATCCTACTTGCTACTTATCGCTCCCCTGACTCGACAGCTCCAGCTGTAGATTATTTGTGTGTGCAGTGAACTGAGTATCCATTAGTGCCAGTGACTGAACCAGACCTGGGTCAGAATATTGACTTTGAATTTTATTTTTCACTCTAGTACTGCTTGACCTGTGCTATATGTTTTTTCATACTGGACACATTTTTTGACACATGACATTAAGGTACAGCAGCTCGCCAAAAACTTGCAGATTCACTATTTTAGTCAACAACAACAACAACAACACTGTTACTGTGTTTGTAATTGCATTTAGTTCAATGTGTATATTAGCAAGGCTGGATTACCACCTGGGCAAAGTAGTCCAGTCCCCCCAGGCCCCAGTATATTAGCCAGTGTTGAGCACAGAGATCACCATCTACACCAAAAACCCACCACAATGTATTTATTATCTTATTATGAAACCAGGTATATTAGACTAAATTATTACTATGGTTGTTTTTTCCCTGGTGGTCCACGTTGTTATTCATGTTGACATAATACATTATCACTGAGGACAATATTGTCTTTTTCCTCCCTCTCTCTGCTCTGTAGGTAATCAACTTTATAGTTCAGTGAAAAATAGTCACCCATATCTGGTGGTTGATTCACTGCTGAACCTGCACTCAAGCTCTTTATGATATGAGGCCAGTGTCTAGCTTTATGGACGCAGGTAATAGAAGAATTTAAACTAAACTAAACTAAACCAAAAACTATTAACAAAGAGTAAACACCTGCTTTATCTGTGTGTAATAGTTTTATGTAATCTACTGTATAGTGGCTCTGTTATTATTATTCAGCTACATAGAATAGTGTTATTCAGCGCTCCACATCAGACAAAACTTACAACTTCAGAATTTAAATAACCAATAAAAACATTTTAATACGTTTTTATGCTCTATCTCTGTTATTATTCTTTATTTATCTGCTGCAGTCTGTCTCTGTTCTGTCATCTGTGTAAAGTACTAGGAAGTGCTGGAAATGATTTTATTCACACACACGCATACTCTCTCTCTTTTTTATTACAGCTGATATTTGACATCCTGCTGGGTTTATGACAGATGGCAGCAACAAGAAGCAGATTGGAACATTCATCTACTGATTTATTTTGTTTCTCGTTATTATCGATTACTTAAGTCGTTTATTCTCTATGCTGACTGTTGTTCTGTGGGTGGTTTAATGGATCATGACGTGCGATGTAGAAAAACATCAAAATTTAATATATGTATGATTTACAACCTTAGTAGCGAGTGTGTGTATCACATTTGTTTGACTGATTTATTTTGTTTCCATAAGTCATTGTGGCCTGTGGTCTACAGGATGTTAATATTTCCTTTGACTTTCTTTTTCTCATTCTCACATTACAATAAAATCTGAAGCTTAGAGCCAAGGACCTAACTGTGTGTAGAGTGTTTATATTTTGCATATTTTCTGCCCCTTACTGACCTTTCATGTCTGCCATTTCCATCTGCTCTGCTTCTATAGGCATGTCAACAGAAATGTCAAAATGAAAGGATAAAATTGTTCACTTGATTAAGTGAAAAGAAAATTAAACATTCTCAATGTATTCATTTCTCAAAGTGCCTTAATGGGTCACTGCTTAGAAGTAATTAATTGCCACAGCCTTTAGTATGTTAAGTTTAATTCTTCTTCTTCTTCTCTCTGTCTGTCTGTTCTTCTCTTCAGACTGGCAGGTTATGTGGAGGCTTTGGCGTCTCGGCTGGGAATGCAGATTCCTGACTTGAGCCCAAAGCAGGCTGACATGTGGCAAACCAGAGTCAGCTGTCACTCGGTTGGTATCATGACACCGCACTAAAACCCACAAAACAGTTTCTGTCACTCTTCTAGCATACATGTGTGTCTCTCTTTTCAGTCGTGTGTGTGCAAGACAGATAAACATAATATAAACACAGTCAGAGTGGATATTAATTAACCTGCTGCAAAGGATTCCATTTGTTGTGTAGGCATCACAAACATCAGTGCAGACAACAGAGAGACACCTCTGTGATGTGCCCTTTCTATCACTCATTCATTGTGTGAGAACATTTGACCTGGATGATTTTTAATGTGCAGTGACTGCTGAAGTGTGTAATGTAATTAGCTTTAATTGGGTTGAGTGATTAGTCTAGCACTGAAAGGCTCTTGCCAAAGGTCATGCCACTTGTTCCGGCAGGTTGGGAGTATCTGTTTTATTTTGTAAGAATATCAGGCGCTGCATTTTGTACATTTTTTACATTTATCTTAATAATCAGACAAAACAAAACAAAGTTCAATAAAATAAAAAAATATACAGTTTGATTAAAAAGTCGCTTGTATCTCAAATGTAAGAGGCTTATTTTCTGGAGATGACAAAGCTGGAAAGTTTTGTTTTTGTGTGGATTATATGAAACCAATTTTCTTAAAATGTATTTTCTCTGTATTGTTTTCTTACTTCCATTTCCCTCCGTGCAGGGTAAAGCCATTGGTGTTGGCATCGGCTGTATTCTCGGCATGTTTCCTCTACTGTTCTTCAAAGACGACGATGAGAAGAAAGAAGGCAAGAAGGGAGCGAAGGAGAAAACACAACCACCACCTGCTCCACCAGAGAGCAGCAAAAACTGAAACTGTCAACTTGGAGGAGACAAATACTATTTGGAATCCATTAGAATACTTTAGTCTGAGACTTACAGGCCGTGTCTGGTGGACTGGAGTGTATGGAAACGTTATTGAACCCCATACAGTCTAATCGCTGGGTGCTTTGCTTTGCAGTCAAACTATCAAAGGTATTCTGAAGAGGATTTTAGATATTATTTTATTGTAGACTTTGAACTTAAGCACAGGGACCTGACTGTCACTTGTCAAGAGACAGTTGATTCATTGGACTGCTGCTACTCCAACTATTGCTCTCTAACCTCACCTTGTTTTGACTGACTGACACAGGCTGAAACTAATCTAATCTCTTATCTAAAACACACTGCAGTGACCTCTTTCTCCTCTCTGCTCCGAGTCTGTTGAATATATAAACCTCTGAGTATAGATGGTTTGATGTCAAGTAAAGGTAATCAACCATTTGAGGGCTTGCTAGACTTCGGAACCGATGCAAGAACAAAAACAGTCACGGCTCATTCAGAGAAAGAATCTGCAAGTATCTTACATGGCATCTTCATTCTTGAATATTGTCAGAAGATGCATGCCGATTCATTCAGCAGTGGTAAACCATGCTAATCAGTTTTTGAACGTGATGAGTCAACCAAATGGGGTCAATTTGAATATAAAAGATGCACCCTTCCACACCAAGTACATAATTCTTCGGTTTTACAAGCATGTCTGCCTTTTGATGATGTCAGAGTCCTAAAAAGTCCTGCCGGCCTGCCTCATTCACACTCCATGACACCCAATCAGCTTCGATTAATGAGAAGGCAGGCGGTTAAAAATGTAACACCCGCTGGCTGCTTCTTAAGATTTTTGTTTTTTTGTTGCTGATGAATTGATTGAACATTACATGCTTGTATGCTGTGTGATAGTCACCCAAAGCAGTAACACGAACAAAATGTCTCCCATGTATACTGTATGCAAACAGGTAGGCGCAGTTCAACATAATGTAACCTTTTAAGGAATAGTTGACTATCCTCAGTAGATTTGAGCAGGAAATAGAGAAATAAAGAGAGGCAGCTGGAGGAAGAGACAGCGAGTAGCTATGGGAAAAAGATAAGAAATACCATCACTGGACTACCTGAGACCTGTACCTGTACCCTGTGATTAATCTCCTCCAGCTCTGCATCGACCAGCCTGCAGCTGAACTGCAACACGTCTTCCATACGTGGTGAGACAGCACCAGGCCTCTCGTCCAGTTTCTGGGGAGCCACAT